ATTTTTGTCGTTTTGTTGGCTGGTCCACTTGTAGCCCACTTGTTGACGGATGTCCAGGGACCCCAACATCCACCACAGCCCTTGTTAACCTGCGCGACGACCGATGCGGTATGGAATTCTTATTTGTTTTTTTCACCATATTGTATGGGTTGGCAGGTTTATTATTATTATTATTATTATTATTATTATTATTATTATTATTATTATTTCCCAATGAATAGTACTTAATGATAGAAATACCCATCACTGTAAAAATCATTTTATGCAGACATATTCACAGTATGTTGAAAAGAGTCTTTCTTAATGTATTAAGCATCTCATAGAGATAAAGTTTCCTATAAATCATACTTGACATTTAAAGATGCCATAAACACATACATTTGTAATTTTATTAACATTTTAACAATTGTGTGCAGATTAAGTAGTTTTTGTGGGAAACACCCATGACAACAGAGAAATGCAATGGCATTTAAGAAATGTTTCATGAGAGTGAGAAAGAAAACAGCTCTTTTTCTCCACTTCCTGTTGCCTACTCCACTTTAATGTATATTCTTGACCAGAATTTCAACATTCCTTGCTCATTGTTTTTCTAGTCACTTAGGTAGATAGAAGGATTTTATACCATGAACTTTCTTCATCAAATTACTGAAAAAGTGAGAAAATTGAGTGATTTGCGAGAAACCAAAACAGGTGTCAGCCTCTCAAAATAGGAACCAGGTGAGGAAATAGATACTGCAATGGTTTCAGGTATACATATACTGTGCAGTGGGTTCCGACCAGTCCGCACCCGTACGCCTGTATCGATAGCAGAAATTGGGCCTACATTTGCATACTCATAGAGCCGGAGACCCCGTAGTGGTACTGTCCCTTCCCTAGCCTGCCCCTGCTTGCTCCCCCTGCCTGCCTGGTCACCGCTCTCTCTCTCTTGCCCTGCCTGTCTGCACCATGCTTGCCCCACCCACCCACTTCCTTTACTGGAGCGGAGGACTTGACTGTTAGAAGAAGCCCCGAGTTCATTCTCTTTGACAGCCACCTCATGTACAATGGGGTGGGGAGAAATCCACGTGTAGAGGGGGGGGGGAGAAGGCTGAGCTTCTGCAAGGGATGGCCTTCTCCCCCCTCTAATGCATGGATTTCTCCCCACTCCATTGCCCTCCTCCTGCAAGCAACAGGTGCCTCAGAGACTCGGCAGGTAGCTCAAGGGAGACAATGGCCACGGTGACTTCACTCCCCAGGAGCTGCCGCCGCCGCCTAAGCCCTCCCAGGAGCTAAGCAGAGCAGGACCCCCAAAAGCCAAACGTCTCTCCTTTCCAGTCATCACTGTCTGTTGGTCTGATTCCCCAATGCAATTCGTGGAGCTGCTTACCCTCATGAAAACATTTTCAGGCTTTCAATGCCTATGGCTATAGATAGGAAGACGGGAGCATCTCAGAAGTGAAGCCTTTGGTGCCAAGTGCCAAGTCCCCCTTCTGCCCCCATGAAAATCACCCCCACCCCACTCACTCCAGTTAAATGTGCATAGGGTGATAGAGTTAGTTTTAAATGGATAGTTTCCCAGCTGGCAAAACATAAACTTTCACCAACAGGAAGGATGTGTGTGAGAGAGAGAGTGGGGGGGGGGAGAGAGAAAGAAAGAAAAAGAGTAAGAGAAAAAGGAAGAGAAAGGAAGGAAGGGAGAGAGAGAAAAAGAGAGAGGCAAAGATAGAAAGAGAAAGAAAGAAAGAAAGAAAGAGAAAGAAAGAAAAAGAAAGTGGGAGAGAGACACACAAGAAAGAAAGGAAGAAGGAAGGAAGGAAGGAAGAGAAAGGAAGGAAAGAAAGAAAGAGAGAGACACACAAGAAAGAAGGAAGGAAGGAAGGAAGGAAGGAAGGAAGGAAGGAAGGAAGGAAGGAAGGAAGGAAGGAAGAAAGAAACAAAAAGAAAAGAAGGAAAGAAAGAAAGGGAGAGACACACAAGAAAGAAGGAAGGAAGGAGGGAAGAAAGAAAGAAAGAAAGAAAGAAAGAAAGAAAGAAAGACAGACAGACAGACAGACAGACAGACAGACAGACAGACAGACAGACAGAAATAATTTATGATCACAATTGAGCCCAAAATTTTGGTTGTTAAGCAAGAGCATTGTTAAGAGCATTTTACAATTTGGCCATGCCCGCCCAGTCACACGACTACCAAGCCACTCCCAGCCAGTCACATGACCACCAAGCCATGCCCACAAAATAGGCTACACCCACAGAATAGGTAGTAAAATATTTTGAAACCCACCACCGATACTATGTAAGTAAAATACAAGAATGTTGAAAGCATGTTCCTTCTGCCCTCTCTTACAAGTTAGGGTTATTCTGAGTTTCTTTCTCAATAATTCCCCTTTTCTAGGACTGAACTTGCTATTTTTTCTTCCTTAGTGTTTTTTCATTCCTTAAAAGTTATTTCACATTCTTCTACATGGAGAAACATTCATGGTTGAGGGAATAAATAAAAAATTCTTTCTTACCTGCCCAAAATTCCATGGCCTTCCACGAATATTTGCTACTGATCCTACATAAATGTAGCCAGTATCATTGAGGATGTACTCCACTCTTTCATCATCATTTGGCATAAAAACAGAATCTGCTAAAATAGACATGTAAGCAGATTTAGGAGGCCAAGACCTTATGCAATGAAATATCAACAGGATCATCAACAATGGGGTGGAGGAGGAGGTTAATTTATTTTCTTCACAGTTTGAATCCATTCAGGGTAATGCTCTGAATCTCTTTGGCTGGGAAACTGTATACTTAGGGTTGGACACCAAAAACAGTGACTGTTGGTCTCCAAAACAATGTGGTGAATTTTCAGATAAGCAGACTGATAGATTTCAGTTCAGAGCCTTTCTTATTAATATGTTCTAGGTTTTCTTATACAGCTACAGTTATCCAAGAATTACAGAAGATTAAATATTCAATTAAGGTTTTCCTTGACTAAATCTCTACTTGTTTAATGGGTAAAATTTATCTCTCTGGAGTTCTATCCATATCATATAAGAACAGCCCTGCTGAATCAGACCAAGGTCCATCTGTTTCCCACAGTGGCCTCCCAGGTCCTGTTTGAACAACAGGTGGAGTTGTGGCCAGGAGAGCTTCAGCCCAATTTTGGTTGATGTACTAGTACATCTCTATCTGGGGCAGGAAAATCTTAAATGCAATGACTCATGCCTGTAAAACTATCTGTTTGTTATTGCTAGACTAATATACTATTTTCCAGATTTTATTTTCCTGGACTCCAAGATCACCGCAGATGGGGAGTGCAGTCAAGAAATTAAAAGACGCTTGCTCCAGGAGAAGAAAGCTATGGCAAATCTAGACAGCATACTAAAAAGTAGACACATCACCCTGCCAACAAAAGTATGTATAGTCAAGGCTATGGTTTTTCCGGTTGCAATGTGTGGCTGTGAAAGCTGGACCATAAGAAAGGCTGAGTGCCAAAGAATTGAGGCCTTTGAACTATGGTGCTGGAGAAGACTCCTGTGTGTCTCTTGGACTGCAAGGCGATGAAACCGGTCAGTNTCGATCACCTCCACGGAGGACTTCTCCCTTTGGGTTTCCAGGGGCTCCGTCCCTCTCAATTCCGCTCCTCTCTTTTTCGCAAAACTCGAGCGTTTTGCTCGAGCAGCCATCTTCCGCCTCGCAAGATCTGCAAGAAATATCATTTGCCTGCAAGCAAGAACTGGTGGGACCATAAAATAGAGAAAGTCATAGAAAATGAAGAAGTTAAAATGCTCTGGGACTTCAGAATCCAGACAGACAGGCACCTGCCACATAGTTGACAACAGTTGTCGATAAGAAATACAAAAAAGCCTGGATAGTGCATGTGGCAATGCCTTGAGACAGCAGAATAGAAGAGAAAGAACTGGAGAAGATAACAAAATACAAAGACCTACAAATAGAAATAGAATGACTATGGCAAAAGCAAGCAAGGGTAGTACCAATAGTAATAGGCACCTTGGGTGCAGTCCCAAATCAACTGGCACACCGCTTGAACACCATAGGCCCAGATGGCAAACCTATGGCACGTGTGCCAAAGGTGGTACGCGGAGCCATTTGTCAGGGCACGCGAGGTGTTGCTGTTAGCTGGTCAGCGGGCATGCGCGTGCTAGCTAGTTGAGTTCAGCCTTTTTTAAAGCCATTTTTCACTCTCCCCAGACTCCAGAGGCTTTATAGGAGCCTGGGGAGGGCATAAAGAGCCCCCGGCCTTCCGGAGGCCCTCCGGAGGCCCTCCAGAGGCTTCATGAGCTTCCCTGAAGCCTCCGGAGCGCAAAACGACAGCTGTATGGGCAAACTAGAAGTTCGGGAAGGGATCCCCTGAAGCCTCCGGAGAGCTTAAACCGGCCCTATGAGCAAACCGGAAGTGACTTTCGGTTTGCTTGTAGGGTCGTTTTTAGTCCTCTGGAGGCTTCAGGGAAACCTTCTGAAGGTCCCTGAAGCCTCCAGAGGGCCTCCGGGGGAGTCGGGGATGCTGTTTTCGTCTTCCCCAGGCTCCTATAAAGCCTCTGGAGCCTGGGGAGAGCAAAAAAAGCATGCAAAAAAGGGAGGAGTGCTTCTCATGCACGCATGTGCACTGGGGGAAATCGCACATTGCATTATGGGTGCAGCACACCTGCGCACGACCCCCTGCGCTCTCCCTTATGGCACATGAGCCAAAAATGGTTCAGAGGCATTGGCAAATTTGCCATCAATCAATTTCAGAAGGCGGCTTTACTTGGAACTGCTTCCATCCTGTATCTGTAACACCATCAAATATCCAGATTTGCCTATCCCAGGTCCTTTGTAAATGCCAAACCCAAACTGAACACCTGGCTGACTGTGCATGATTAATAACAACAACAACAACAACGATGATGATGATGATGATAATAATCAGTTGACAGAGTTTCATGTTTAATGAATACAAACACCAACAGATATTGCTCAATTAGCTGAGAAAATAAAGCATCAAATGGAAGATGCTGAAAGAACACGTTTGCCAAAGCT